GTTGATTGGGCTCAATGACGGTTCAAACTCCCAAACCTTAATTATATACTTTGAATGCCAGATCATTGTTGCCCACTCTTCACCCGTATGCAAGTTCGCTCACTGGGACAATGAATTGACAAAAAAGGGCGATCAGATTTTGTATCCCAAGCACTCACCGAAGATCCTACACTACGAAAATGCCAGACAAGAATGGTTAAACAAATCGAATTGTAAGGGAGTGCCTGACCGAAATTATCGCCTTGCGATGGGAGGAAGGTGGGAAGAGCAGGTCAAAAGGAGATGTATTCACGTAAGGAGCTCAACAGGTAAAAGGGGTCATAGAGACTGAAATTATCAGTTAATTTGACCTTTGGATTTGGTGGGTAATTCATACTAAAGAATTTAACACTCATGAATCTCTCGTTCAAAATATCTAGAGCATAAGGAGAGATTGTTCACTTAGGACGATTTTTTACAGGAAGGAGAAATAGAGGTCATTAGGATAGCACGATGCCGATTCACCAAAGCGATAATACTTTCGGACTCACAGTCAGCAATAAACTCAATCGGAAACAGAGAGTCACCCAAAACAGCTGAGATATACGAATGTTAAAAACTCTATCAGCTGCTGAGAGAGAAAAACAAAACAGTGGTCCTACAATGGATTCCTGGTCACTGTGGCATTAAAGGCAATGAGCCTGCTGACACACTTGCTAAGAAGGGGACAACGATTTTGCAATGCATGGACCGGCCCATATCTTTCCACACAATGGAGGCCTTAATCAGAAGAGAATTCAAGACCTCAAGGTGCAACGAACTTAAAGCTCGAACAAAGGAGAAACAGTGGACAGTGGCACTCTCCGACATATCCGACTGACCAAGAATCGAAGCCGTTGCTGAGTTTAGACTACGTACCGGACACGATTGCCTGACAAAACATCTCCACAGATTGGGAGTATACACTCACATGCCCCCTATGTAACCTGCAGGAGGAAATGGAGAAGACGCACCTGATTCGGTGTCCAGCCCTAAAGACAACGATGGAAACCCAGAGATACTTGGAAGCCGGAAGACATCTAATGGACTGCAATTAATTAACTGCTATATATGTACCCCCCACCCATGGGGAAAGCTGAAGTCAACTAAGGGGCTAATGATAAATATCATATAGCCTGCCATTTGAAATAATAACAATAATAATATTTCTCAGGAACGATCTTTCATGAGATGGCCACGGGAACAGATAGAAGGCTCTCACACATAGACACTATGACCAATCGTTGCATCAATCAGCCCACCAGTAAAAATTAAACCAATCGGGAATGAGTATTTAATTCATCGCTTGCATCCTAATTGAAGAGGTGAAACCAATTAACAGTGCGAATGTGTGCATGGAAAAATTGCCGACAGACAGACAGACTAAAACGGAGGGTGTAGACGACAGATTAGGGAGGGCAAATTTAGATGAGTCAGCAAGGCAAAACGCAAGCAGTCAGTGTTGAATGACCGCAGCAAAGGTGTGTTTGTGTGTGTGTGGGGTGTACATTTGCGTGAGCTGAAACAAGGACAAGACCAGATCAAAAACCGGCCAAAATATACTCGAAACAGAAAAAATGCGTTTAAAGCTTGTTTAACGAGAAAGTAATGGCAACTCCCCCCCACATCCCCATCATTTATTTTTTTGCTGAATAGGAAACAATTGAAAGCACAACTCCTGGTGAAGGTCCGAAGACACTTGAATCATTCAAAAACCAACTGTTTAAGTACAAAGCTATTTCGTTTGTTTTTTTAAATATAATATCATATGATTTAAGCAGGCATGAAAAATCGGTTAACGTAGTTGCACTTAACAATTGCATAGAGGTATTCAATAAATATTTGAAGTTAACAGAGAGCCACCCAAAACAGCTGAGATAAAGGAATGTAGAAAGCTCTATCAGCTGCTGAGAGAGAAAAACAAACCAGTGGTCCTACAATGGATTCCTGGTCACTGTGGCATTAAAGGCAATGAGCCTACTGACACACTTGCTAAGAAGGGGACAACGATTTTGCAATGCGTGGACAGGCCGATGTCTTTCCACACAATGAAGGCCTTAAT